ATCTGGAATTTTAGTCCCCACACGGGGTTTTGACTCTTTTTGAGTTTTCTTTGCCTTTTTATCTGTGTTGTTAACCTTAAGCTGTGCAATTTGGCTCCTGAGCTCAGCGATTTGTTTGCGTAAGTCATCACAGTTATCATCTATTTCCAGTTCACAAGTGTTTTTACTCTGAGAGCATGTTGTTTGCACATTTGAATACACTCTAGTTCGTTGTGCCCCTAAGTGTTGTTTCATGCGTGCTGCTTTAGTAGCCTGTTTGTCTTCTTCAGTGCGCAGTTTGAGGAGAAGTGCTGTAAAATGAGGCGGGTTGTCTTTCTTTTGTTCGAGTTGCAGGTTTGAAATCAGCGAGCTGTCCCAACAGCCTCTGCAAAACTGCTTGAGCAGCTGCTGGTCGGCGTCACTGGAGGAAATTCCATTCCTCTGAATAACTAGGTTTAACAAGGTGTATAACCTCTGAAAGTAATCGGAAGGTTTTTCACCACTGTCCTGGTTTGTGTTTAAGAAGCGAGCAAAGAGCTCGTCGCCGTCTTCGACAGCTGCGTAAGCTGAATCGAGATGTTCAAGGTACGTTTCCGGGTCGGATTTTGGACTAAGAGCTTTAACGATGCTCGCTGCTGGGGCTGACAGACTCTCCACGATTCTTCGTACAATTTGGGACTTGGTGAGTGAAGGGTCATTTATGCATAACACTACACTACTACGCCAAGTATCATAGTCAGTTTCAAAAGAAGGGTGTGGAACTCGCCCTGAGAACGGTTTTAGTCTGTATTGTGAAGTAGGCGGAGGGATAACCTCACTGCTTTTAACAATGTGTTCCACAATAACTCGCTGAACCTCAGGTGTGTTTAAAAGATTTGGTGGAATGCAAGGGTTTTGTTTTCCAGTCTCTGTAGGTGGACAATTGTCCTTTGAGTTGTTCATATAGTTAACTTCTGGTGTTAAAGGCAGGGAATATGTAACTTGGTCACTATGGAGCATTGGCTCTGGTTCAGTGACTGGTTCAGATGCATGGGTATCCCTTCCTAAAGATTCCCCAATTTTTGCCAGTTCCTCCATTAGAAGGTCTTTAAATGATTGATTGCTACGCGCAGCTATGTCCCTGAGCTCTGACAGATAGGCATCAGTGGCAGATGTGCTAGTTTCTAGACTGTACGCGCTGGCTAGGTCTTGAATATGGAAGAAAACATCTGGGTTCCTAGTACAAGGTTTGTCATAGGGTAAACATTGTTTCTTTAATTCCTTAACAGTGGCTTCATGTTGAAACTCCACAATAATCTGATCACAGTTTGGTAACTTAATGCGCCTGTTAACTGGTCCGAATCCTTCCATAAACCCAAAGACTTCGTTATCAAGGTCTGTATCAGTTAACCCACTTATTAAAACAGCATTTGAAACTTTGACCTTTTCTGTTTTCACAACTTCCATTTTAAAACACTCAAAAGTACCAATAATGCCAAAATGGCAAACCACTGTGATCTCCAGGCACTCTTATGATGTCAGTCAATGGTTAGCTAAGGTAACAACTCTACAATTCTCCTGGCTGGCTCGCCAAGTTTTATGTAACCGGATTACAGGATACAATAAGATAATTAAAAGAAAAAATAAACAAATGGGCCAATAATTAGGTTCGGGGAGAATTGGAGGTTGTTTAAGAATGACTGGAGTCACGGGTATAGCATGAAACGGTTTATATACTAAATTTTAATAATAATGGGAAATATAACACATAAAGATAACACACAAAAACAGATGAAAACAATCGACAATAGTAAAATGGTCGGTATGAGATTTGATCATATGAGTCACAAGTCAGCCGGCGTCAAGTCAAATCCCCACGCTTGGGGTGAAAGTCAGAGTCCGGTGGTGCGATTTTTTCCTACCACACCGTTGAGATTGTTCACAGAAGAGAGCAGTCTGCTCTTCAGTTACTTGAGATGTCCTGGTTCGTTCAGTGGTTAAGGCTCGCCATCTCCCTCGTCAGGAAGAAATCCAGTTCTCGTTCCAAGTGAGTGATCATAGGAGTCGGGATCAAACCCAAGGAAAAAAAAAACCCAGCCTGTAAACAACAGGACTGTTAGCGAGTTGGCATCGACCCTTCTCGTCACATCACAGCATAAAGTCTTACAGACTTAAACAAATGCTTCACTCTATTGGCATAGCCAATCATGTTTGGGTTCACAGTTCAACTAACATAACATCAATTTGATTGTCTATTAAAATAATTCTCAGTAGCTCTGGAAATATAATTACATATGACAACAATTGTTCAGCTCAATAGGCTCAGTTAGATTCTATTACTCTACACTATTCAACAAGAAATACATTCATGACAACAAGGATACATTTAGTTGTGTTTCTATACAGCATTGTGACACCTTGTATATCTGTAACACAATAAATAAATAAATAAATAAATAAATAAATAAAATGTTCTATAACAAAATTCAACAAAATATAAATTCTGGTCCTTTAGTCCACCTTTGTAAAATAATTCCTCCCTAATCAGTTAGCTTTTATTTATTTTTATTTATCTATTTTTTTTTATTATTAAATGTTTGGTTAAGGGACGCATTGCTAATTCTATGGCGTTAGCTATAACGCCCCTGAGGACCTTGTACATCTAGGCCGTACCACCGTTAACTGGCGGTTTGAGCCGTTAACTCCTGGGAATCCCATATGCCGTACCGCCGTTAACTGGCGGTTTGAGCCGTTAACTCCTATATGCCCTACCACCGTTAACTGGTAGTTTGAGATGTTAACTCCTGGGATCTAACGTCTAGCAGCCCACTGCTGTCACCTCGGTTGCTGTAATTAGCTTTTTGAATTTAATAATTTACTGAATTTAATCTCATTCACTCACCAACGCGCTCCAACGGTTCCCTCCTACAGAGGATTGGTTCACTCTGTCGTCTCCACACAAATCTATAAGAATGGAATTAATTTGATAAGCTATTTAAGTTTCCTTTTTTTTTTAAGTTGCATCGTTAGCTTTTTCTCTTCTTTTTTCTTTACTCACCGCGTTGGTTCCAAGTTCCTAGCTCTCATTAGAAGGAGTCAAGTCCGCCTCTCCCTCTATCTATGCGGCACCCAAATCAGGGTTCTTCACGGCCTCGACCGTTGTTTTTTTTTTCTCTCTCTCTCTCTCTCTAACCGCTCAGTCTTTGCTTTCTGTATCTGCGTGCTGCACAGCCGTTTGTCTCTCCTCTCGCTCAGCTGCGTCGCACGGTTTTATTTCGCGGAGGCGGGACTTATTTCTCTCAGCCAATGAAATTTCAGATTCCCACCTGGACCAATAGTATACAGCTTTCCTCTTCTGTTTCTGTTAGTGATGTTCAAGATTCTTGTTTTAACCGATGTTTAATATTAAACTCGTTATTTTAGTTATTCACCCTTCCAATAATTCATTATGAAATTATCTATTAGTTAATTAGATATCTATTAATTAGTATTGTTAATTTCCTTAATTTATATTTTATCTAAATTGAGGATGGATCATATTAGTAAGCCAATTAGTTAATACCTCATTAAGGTTCTAGCTTCTGGGTTACAGAAGAAACAGAATTATTATCATGAGAACCAGAACAAGACAGCCTGATAACAGTCATGTGAAAATAACAGTTAAAAAGAGAAATAAAAATATATTAGAATTAGTGTAACTCACTGTGATCCAAACAATAAATCAGCCATAGCTGATTAGCAATCATGACATGAGGTCTGGGAGTTTTTAAGTTTCATTCTTTTATTACATTTTTTCTTAGATCTGTTAAAAGGTCACCATGGCAGCCTGTGTGTCTCCAACGTCGGCTACGCAACGCAGCAAGTGGACTGAGGTGGAAAGACCTTCTCCCCTTCTTTTTCAACTCCATGCATGGAAGAGCAGCTCCTGATCTGCAGTGTGAATCTGGTGAACATGAAGTAGGACCTGCACCGGCTTCACCTTCTACACCCTCATATCACACTGTTGAGAACTGTTCTTCCTTCACAACCCAATGTTCCACTCACTCTGCAGCTCTCTGGGCCCCTTTTATTATTTTAAGTATTTTTTAAATGTCCCGACACTTTGTGTCCTGTTATTTTTTTAAATGTGATGTAAAAAAATAAATATTTTTGCTCAGTTACTGGAATTTCTTTGGTTAAGACAAAAAAGGAAGAATCATTTATGCCAAGTTGCTTCTACAACAGGCCCGTTTTAAGTCCCAACACTTTCTTAGCCAATAGAAATGTGTTCTTTACTAACTTTACTTGGTTTAAAAATCTTACTTAAATAAACAGAGTGCTGTATTGCGAAACCCAATCATACTTGTTATGTAAATATTAGCTTTGTAGATACTTTTTACAGATAAATATTTGTGTGCTAAAAAAACCATAAACTTAAATTTGTCATTCTTTATTGAAAAACAATAAAATACAAGTATACAGAAAGTGTGGGAAAATGATAATGTGAAAGTATTGCACTTTAAATGTAATACTATTTATCTTTAAAAAGAAAAACTCTAAAAATTCCTGTACAGTAACATGACAGAAGAAATGTGGTCTGTCTGTCAGAATGTGCTGAACATATTTGCTCTATCAAGAGGAGCGTTTTGTGTAAGAGTTTATGTTACTGTAATATTGGTTTGGGTTATGTATCTGTGACACGATCCAGGTGGAATGGAAGGTGCCACTAATATTAAAAGGATTAAAATAGGTTCTAAAAAAACAAGGCAAGCAGTGCGACAGCCAAAGCAAATTAAAAAGGTACATTTATTACAAAACCCTGATGATGACGCCAAAGGAAAAAAAAGCGTTCAATCGAGTGTGCGCAGGGCCCCAATGGACAAGGCGGTCCAGTCCGGCCCTGCTGAGCTCTCGACCAAGGAACCTCCAAGGCCGGCGTCGTCGTCTGGGAACCACAGGATCGCCGCACGGTGGATCCAATCCTCCTCGGCCCGGCCCATGTGGCACACAACAACTCTGGCTGTAACTACAGGGGTCCAACAAAGAATGGCCACGCATCATACTGATGTCTTCGGATGTTTATTTTGCTCTCTCTCTCTCTCTCTCTCTCTCTCTTATTGTCTTCAGACACCGTGAAAACTGAAGAAACACAAAGTTTACACCATAACTGTTTTAACTTATCAGTCTCTCATATCATTGTCCATAAACAGTCTCGAGCAAGCAGAACAGAAAGAAAATGCGCAATAATGAATCACAAAAATGTCCTCTCATTACCAGTGTAGAACACATATGCAACATTATACAAACATTATACATGAAACCATACCGTGTGTGCCTCTTGGACCACATGCAGAATGACATTAACGTCGAGGCTATAGACGCATCTGTAGCCATGTATCCATGCTATGTTACAGTTGCAGTTACAACAGCAGTTACAGTTGCTATGGTTGCGCTCTAAACCAAACTCTGATCATGTGACCATTACAAACTCTACCTCATACAAACTTTACAGCACGTTACATATTTAACAAACCCATATTTTTTAATCACATATTTTAAACATGTTTTTTAATCATTGTTACACTTTTATCATCTTATCTAGTAATTAAATGAACCAAATTAAGCATCTCTCTATCACAGAAACATTTGAAATAAACAACTTTATTTTAACTGTCTCAGGGACCGTTACACTCCCACCAAATTACTAAGATTTATGAACTGCTAATAATTTGAATAAATCTAGAAATTTTCAGAACCAAACAGTTGTGACAATCTTGCAAGTCAAGTCTAATATTTTAACCATCCCATATACATTTACAGAAGTTCCACTGGAACATTCTAATTACTCTCTATTAGGACCACTAATTTATGTATAGGGTGTTCAAGAGTGGATGGTTTATTGAGCCTTTCACCCTCTTTCGATAGTTTTCTATTTCCTACTTGTATTCTGGCTTTTTTGGCTAGTTGCTGAATCCTAGCAACTACATTTACTGCTGTATGCCATTTTGAGAACCTTTTGAGTCGCTCCAAGAAGTTCCTGTCCTCTACTACCTTTGTTTGTAGTATTTGTGTCGTTTTGACCTCTGGATCACCTACCAGAAGGTCTGGAGTTGAGTCTGGTGTGACAAACCCTCTTTCCCACAGGAAATGAGCTCCAGTGAGCCAGTTTGAACTGATCAGTTCTGCCACTGTGAGGCCTCTGGAAGCGTGATCCGCTGGATTTTGATTGGTGTCAACATAGTGCCACTATGCTGGATCAGTTGCTTCTCTGATTCTTTGCACTCTATTAGCAACAAAAACATGAAATCTGCGGGCTTCGTTGTTAATGCAGCCCAAAACCACCCATGAATCAGACCAGAAATACTCTTGATCAATTTTGAGCTCCAGTTCCTCTTTTAGCATTCTGCTGACTGCTGCAGACACCACTGCTGCTGTTAATTCCAGCCTTGGTATGGTTACAACTCTCGTGGGTGCAACTCGTGCTTTGCCCATGACTAAGGAGCAATGCACTCTGTCTTCACTCATCACCCGGACATATGAGCACTGACCATACCCGCGATTGCTCGCATCTGAAAAGTGGTGGAGTTCTATTCTTTGGACTTTTCCAAGGTTTTCAGGTACAAAGCATCTTGGGATTTAGAGTTGCTGCAGGTTCTTCAGATCAGTGACCCAACTCTCCCATTGTGGCTTCAATTCACCAGGCAGTGGCTCATCCCATCCAATGCTCTTTAGACACATTTCCTGTAGAATTTTCTTTCCTATTAGAAGGAAAGGAGCCAAGAAGCCTAATGGGTCAAACACAGAGGCGATAATGGAAAGAATTCCCCGTCGTGATACTGGTTTCTCCTCCAGGGCAACTTTAAAGGAGAAGGTGTCACAGCTTACACTCCACCTTACTCCCAACACAGTCTGAACTGGGAGTTCATGATGACTGATGTCCACATCCTGGGCTCCACTAGCTCGTTCACTATTTGGAATTGACTCCAGGACTTCTCTGTTGTTGGATATGAACTTGTGAAGTCGTAATCTTGCCTTCGCACACACCTTCCGCACATCTCTCACTAGTTCAATGGCTGCATTCACAGTTTTTAACTGACTAGCCCATCATCAACATAGAAGCTACTTCTGATGAAGTTGGCTGCTGTCGGATGTTCCCTTTCATTTTGGCTTGCAAGATACTTCATTGCATAATTTGCGCAGCCTGGTGAGGATGCTGCCCCAAAAAGATGGACTTTCATGCGATATTCCTTTGGCTCTGTGTTTGTTTCACCGTTTTCCCACCACAGGAATCGCAAGTAATTTCTGTCTTCTCTGTTTACATGAAATCTGTGAAACATCTTCTCTACATCACAGATTATTGCAATAGGGTGTTGGCGAAATCTGCAGAGTACACCAGTCAAACTGTTGATGAGGTCCGGTCCGGTCAAGAGGTAATCATTCAGAGCTGTGCCACTGTACTTTGCAGAGCAGTCAAACACAACCCTGATTTTTTCTGGTTTTCTTGGGTGATAGATGCCTTGATGTGGAATGTACCACGTATTTCCTTCTCTGGGATCATCTTCAGCTCTTTCAGCATCACCTTCCTTGAAGACATTGTCCATGAACCTTACATAATCGTTCTTAAATTTGGGGGTTTTCTCAAACTTCCCTTTCAGGTGCTTAAGTCGCACCAGAGCCAGACGCTTATTTTCTGGCAGCTGAGGGCGTGCCTTAAAGGGAAGTGGCATCTCTAGGTGCCCGTCAGCATTCTGGTGTATTTCCTCATTTAGCAGATGCATGAACTGTATGTCATCTTGTGATATGCTCTTTTCTCCAGAAGCTGTGTCTTTGAAATCTGACTCAAGTACTCTGATGATGGTGGCTGGTGTCAGAAGTGGAAGCTCCTTAACAGATAAGCGATGGCACAGGCCTGTCACTTCTGTTAATGTTGCCATTTTTTGTGAACTGCCAACAATGCTCCAGCCCAGGTCTGTCTTGATTGCATATGGCTCTTCGTCACCCCCCGCGATTACTTGCCGTGGTGCCAGTGCTCTAGAACAGTCGTAGCCTATTAACAGCCCAACCTTGCAATCCATTAACTCGGGCATCTCCTGTGCTATTCTGATTAGATGTTTCCATCTCTTGGCAGTTTCAGAGGTGGGAATGTGTGAACGTTCAAGTGGGATGAAGTCTCTGGTATAGGCAAGTGGCAAATTGATAAAGACTTTGGAGTAAAACCCTCTAACTCTGAGCCCACTAACCCTTTCGCTCTGAACAATGGAATCTCTTCCCATCATAGTGGTTAGCTTTAATTTCACTGGCTCTAAACTCATCCCCATCTCCTCACACACCTCTTGATCTACAAAAGTGTTGCTACTCTGCGTATCTAATAAAGCATACACTAAGGTCTCTCTCTCTGGAGTGGTGGTTGAAGAAACCCACACAGGGACTATCATGGATGTGCTCCCACCATCTCTTTTGTCCATGCAGCAAGAAAGTGCAGATATGTTTTCTTCTGCCTGCATTCTATGTGATGATGTGTTCACTGCAGTTGTTGGACGGTCTTCATGAAGAGCTGTTGGATGATGTTTTTTACAAACCCCACAAGTCGCCTTGCGCTTACAGTCTTTTGCATTGTGTCCTCCTCTGAGACAGCCAAAACACAGGTTATTGTCAAGTATGAACTTTATCTTGTTTTCCACATACATTTTAGCAAAGGTCTGGCATTTGTGAATAGAATGGCTTTCTCCACAGCAAATACATATGACTGAGTTTGATGGCAATGCATGTGCTTTTCTTTCTATATCAGCCTCATTTGAATGGTTCTCCACTTTGCTGTATCCTGTGGTTGTTCTGTCTGATGCTTCCACACTTGTGATGTATGCATTAACCTTTGGACGCTTCATGTCTCTAGCTTCAGTGTGTTTCAAGGCATTAAATGATGTTATGGGATTGCATGCAACTTCCGCTTCTTGTATAACAAAGTCAGCAAATTGTTTGAAGCTTGGATATTCTTCTGTTTGCCGTAACTGCACCGTGACATGACGATTCCAACGAGAAGTCACCCAGTCAGGAAGTTTTCGGAGCAATTTTTGATTCTCTTCACAGTCATTTAACACCTGCAGTTCTTTGATGTATGGCATAGCATTGCTGCAGGCTGTCAGAAAATCACTGAATTGTCTCATTTTAAGCGACTCTCTTGAACCAATCTTTGGCCATTTGTTCAGTTTTTCCCTAAATGCACGCTGAATTACAAAGGGGTGACCATACCGAGCATTCAAAGCTTCCCAAGCTTGGTCATATGCTTGGTCATCTTTTCTGTAAAAGCTTCCCTCCAATACAGACCATGCTTCTCCACTGATGTATTTGCGTAGGTAGAACAACCTGTCGGCTGGATTTGTGCATCGCCGTTCTATCAAAGCTTTGAAACTAGTGCTCCACTCTAAGAACTTAAGTGGGTCCCCTGAGAAGACTGGGGGTTCAGGTGCAGGAAGTCTGGTGAGGACCATTGTGTCATGCAATGCTTGCATTAACAATGACTCATTGTTATTATTGTTTGGTTGTTCATTGTTATTATTCTTGTAGGTTTGCTGTGGTACGATTTCTTCAGGAGCTAACGGAGGACAACTGACTACCTCACTGTGTGCACTTTTGACTTCTCCACAGACTTCACTTGAATCTGCTTGAGAATAAGCTTTTAGCTTTGCAGTTATGACCTGAAGATCTCGCTGATTTTCTAGTCTTTTAAGCTCTTGCCTTTGTGTAGCAATAGCCTCCTCCATTTCTATCTCGGCCTGCTTCGCGGCAAGCTGTGCAGCACACTCTGCCTTTTTACATTGATGCTTTGCTGCTCCGATAAACAGCTTGAGCGGTGGCTACGTACTGAAGGTCGGGAGATTGTAGTCCCAAATATTGACTGAGCATATTCTCTGTCTAGCACCATGTGAAGTCTTGCATTTTCTGCCTTAGCATCAAACTCTTCTATCCCCACTTCACTCATACGTACTTTAAGTATTCTCATCAAGTCCGCTGTTACTGCTGTGCAGGAATCAATTTTTCTTCTGGTCTCAGTAGAAGGGGCTGCCTGCGATCTTATATCTTCGTATGTATTTTTCACTTGTGACTCCAGCCCTTCGACAGTATCCATCATGTCAGCTAATTCCTGGTCAGAGCACTCTTCTTTAAGTTTGGAACGTGTAGCTTTAACTTGTTCTTTCCAGGTTTCATATAGTTTGATAAATTTACTCTCCTTCTGAGAAAACTCTTGTTGCTTAATTTCTAACATTTTGGGTGTTAACTTTCGCTCCCTTGAGGATTTCCTGAGCTCTATTCTTGAAGTATTAGCGGCAGTCTTCTGCTTTATTTCTATTTTAGCATGAATATCACCTATGAGTAACTCAAATTTCTCCCTTTCAACATCATCAGTCTGTAATTTCAATTGTTCATTCAATCTACTTAGCTCTTCCTTAAGGGAATCGATTTGTTCTCCAAATTCTTCAATATGTGATTTTTCTGTTTACTGACATTGTACATGTTTCAGCAAACCTGCTGCATAACAAGTCGTTGCTATATGTATATGCGATCCTGGCAAACATATATTTCTCAATACAATCTGATTCTTGCAACAATTTGCTTAACAACACCCCTTGTTAGTCTTCTTTTAAGTTGAACTCTTAAACATCATTAGAACACTTTAAACAACACCACTTGTAAATTAACGGGGAACAGTTTGGCTATGACAGGCTGGTTACCTTTAACTCAGTACCTTTCTCATACAAAATCAATTATTATTTTAATAGACCTCTCCAAACTTTACTAACAGTTGTGGATATATCACAGCCCAACCTGACGTTGACTGCAGAGCCGTTATCTTTTCCTTGAAGACAGGGGATTATACAGTTTTTGCTGTGTGCAACGGCAGAGAGTTGCAGACGGTTGCAGAGCTGTCGTTTATGATGGTCAATGTCGCCCTCTATTGGTGAAGTCGTGGTTGTTTCCGTCCAAAGCGCCAATAATGATGTTTCCTCTTTTCGAGTTTGCAAGCCTCCTTTCCGCTATGTTCTCGAACCACACACACTGCGCTGTCAAGAACCTTTCTTCTTTTCTTCTTCTGGAACATTCACTGCTTCTAACGTTGAACTTCCAGGCACGTTGGCGGTACGTTTTCACTGTAACTACAGGGGTCCAACAAAGAATGGCCACGCATCATACTGATGTCTTCGGATGTTTATTTTGCTCTCTCTCTCTCTCTTATCGTCTTCAGACACCGTGAAAACTGAAGAAACACAAAGTTTACACCATAACTGTTTTAACTTATCAGTCTCTCATATCATTGTCCATAAACAGTCTCGAGCAAGCAGAACAGAAAGAAAATGCGCAATAATGAATCACAAAAATGTCCTCTCATTACCAGTGTAGAACACATATGCAACATTATACAAACATTATACATGAAACCATACCGTGTGCGCCTCTTGGACCACATGCAGAATGACATTGGCTGTGTCTCAATTCAGGGTCTGCATCCTTCGAAGGACCCAGCCCACCCGGCCGACGTGGGCTGCGTCCTCCGTCGGCCGGGTAGACCGGATGTTAACGGCTGTGAATTTGGACAGGCCTAGCCTTCATGAATTCCCGCCTCTCCCTCGGCGAACGTTCCGTCGCCTAGCAACCATGGAACCGCGCTGAGCAGAAGGGAGAAGGAAAATGGTAGCGCTCGAAGCATTATTGAGCTTTTTAATAATTTCCTTGCTTCTGGAGGAGTTACAAGAGATGTATCGACGGCGAAGGCATTTTATATTGCTCAGGCTGAGAAGCAACAATGAACAGGTATTGTAGTTTCTATTAAGTAGCCTTTACCTATCGGCTATAGCTAGCTTACTGGATAGTTTTAGCTACTTCTTACAGGTTGCAAACATACTCCGTATTAAAATCGAACCTTATACTAAAATACAACTTCAAATCTTTTATACTTACTCAACTACTAAAGCTCCCCACCAAAAGAGTTACTCAAGTAAGAAGAAAAACTAATGGGAAAAAGGCTTAAATAACAAATAAATCATTCTAAAATATGGATGTCATTAAATAACAAATAACTGTAAGCAGAAAGAGCACATTACACTACCTGTAGAAGGACATCTAGTGAACGAAAATAAAAACTTTTTATATGACTTACTAAACTTAATGATGGACAGCACTTTCAAAACATAATTGATCTTTTGGTCTTCATTGCATACATTGTTCAAAAGTTAATTTTTTAGAATTGTGAAAGAATACCATGAATATGTACAATATTATCACATTTACAATTACAGCTTTGAAATAAAACTTTATTTGTTCTGTATTTCTCTTTAACCAGACTAGACCCAGATACTGCAGGATTAACCTGAGTGTCCCAGTCCTGGACCGTTTCTTCAACCAGCAAGATCCGAGACCAGACTTTCGTGTGAGCAGGGAGTCCCTTTCAGTGCTGCTGAATCTGCTGAACCAAGATCGGCGTCATGGTTGGGGTGCCACAATTGAGACCCTGGTGTTTCTTTTCTGGTTGGCAAGTGGAGCATCTTACAGGGTGGTTTCCAGAGCGTTCGGGATACCTCGTTCGACTGTCCACCGCATCGTCCACAGAGTCACGGAGGAGGTTGTGGCCATTCGCCACCAGGTCATCCACCTTCCAAAGACCCCTGAAGACCTGGAGGTGGTGTCCCAGGGGTTTGCAGGGCTGGCACGGCACAGAGCTTTTGTTAAAGCTGCAGGTGCCATCGACGGCTGCCACATCAGGATCAAGCCTCCAAGCGGCCCTGATGGTCACTGCTACAGGAACAGGAAACTGTTCCCCTCTATCATCCTGCAGGCTGTGTGTGACCATCAGGGCCGCTTCATTGACACCTACGTGGGCTGGCCGGGGTCGGTGCACGACTTCAGGGTGCTCCGCCACAGCCCCCTGTACAGGCAGTCAGTCTACCCTCCTCCAGGGCACTTCATCCTCGCAGATGGTGGGTACCCATGCCTGCAAAGCCCACTCCCACTCATCACTCCCTACAAACGTGGGAATCTAGGTGTGGCTGCCCAGCACTTTAACAGCCATCATTCCAAGGCACGCTCTATGATAGAGCGTGCTTTTGGAATGATGAAAACCAGGTTCAGAGCCATCTTCCTGCAAGCGCTGGAGGTCCACCACACCTTTGTGCCTCACGTAAGTGTACGAAATATTGATTTTCACATTTCTTTGAAATAAATTTAAATTAATTATTTTATGTATTACAGGTTGTTACTGCTTGTGCCATCCTTCACAACATCTGCCTCAGTGCTGGAGACTTTGTGGTGGCGGAGGATGAGCCTGAGGAGGATGGTGGAGATGATGAGGGGGAGGCTGGCTTGGAGGATGTCAGCGGTGCACGCTGGCGGGACCAGCTGTGCTGTGAGGTGTCTGCCCTGGAGGAGGTTCCACTGGACCATGACTACTGTTAACAGGTAACAAATGAATGCATTTTTTTAAATAGCCTAACATTTCACCAATAGTATGTAGATTTTGTATTTATTATCTCCTATTTGTCTATGTTTCAGTCTTGGTCATGTAGCAGCCGTCGACAGCCAGCCCTGCAAACCGATGGACGATGCAGTGGACAGTCAAGATGAATCTTGAAGCCCTCTGCAGACCACCCAGTAGGATGCTTCACTTGTCAACCTGAAAAGAGCAGCCACGGGTCTCAGCTCCAGCACTCCATCCATGAGTCATCTGTTCAGCAGATCCAGCATCCCTGTTAGACTTCCTGCTTAAGTTTTTGAAACGGTCTTGGAACAGGACACTCAAGTTAATCCTGCACCTTATATTAGATTTTATTATTTTGTAGGTTTCCCTTAAATATTTTGTGTATATATGTTCAAACCTGTTGGATCTACGTTTTTGGAAATAAAACTATTAAGTTTGATCCATTTCTGCATTATTTTCTATATTACATTATTTGTTTATTACATTTAACAATACATGTTAAGGAAAATAATCTTCAAGTTCATTTTAATACTTTCTCAAGATATTCTCAATATTTTAATATTGCTTTTAGAAGCAATTCAAATGCACCCACAATAGGCTGTTTTATGTTTGTTTTTTTAAATTAAAATGATCAAAATAACGCACTAAAACAATGTTTTTGGGACTGTTGGAGAGCTAATTCAGAGAAAATAGTTTGTAAAGCTGAGCCTGAGCAAAGATGTGATAACAGTGTTTAATACTTTCTAAGGGTCTTAATTTGACCCAAACCGATTGATCACCTTTTAAGACTTTTCAAGGCCCAGTGGATACCCTGTAATATTAAACAATTCACATTTGTAAACAAAAATAAACTTCAAGAGTTTAAGAACTGATTTTATTTAGATTATAACATTTGTTAAATACGGTTAATCTTTACTTACCATTTTTTCAAGCAGACTAAAAAGCTTCCCAAAAGTCTCCCTTCTCTCCTGTGCCCTCTGCTGCTCTGCTTCCCTCTGCAGCCTCATGTCCTCCCTCTGCAGCCTCATGTCTTCTCTGATGAGCTCCAAAAGCTGGTCATCGCTGTCCCTTCTCCTTTTTCTTGCACCCTGCTAACTTCCTCCTGGCTGACCCTCTTCATCCTCACTCTCCTCCCTTTCCTCCACTGCTGTACTTGGCCCTGGAGTGTCCTCACGGATAGAAGCAATTAGGACAGGCGGACTGATAGAGGGTCTCTGTCCTAATAACTCATCCATGAGGTCAAACCAGGGCCAAATAGCAGCAGTGGGCTTCCCACTAACCCCCTCTCCTGACCCTGGATACTTGCAATCCTAGGTAAAAAAATAAAATTATGTCATTTTACACAAATACCAACAAACCTGTTTAAACTTTTTAGATTTAGCATGTATTCATGTTATATTTTTCCACACACATCTACATACTTTGTATTTTTTCTTTAAATTATCCCATTTTTTTTTGGCCTGGATGGGGGTCACCTTCCCCTGGATGGACATTTTCTCCAGAATACTCCTAACATGTAAGAAAAAGAAACAGGAAGAGAAAAGATAGAGAAAAGGAGGACAACGGATTATTCCTTTCATGTTTTGGCAGAAAAAATGAACTCAAGCAAATTTTTAAATAAAATATGACATACCTCCATGCCACAGACGCCGAATGCTTTGCTCCGGTGAACATGTGGTCCATCTCCACTCGAAGCTTTATGAATTCTTGGGTTTTGTCTTTAGTCCCTAAAATATTAAAATCATGGTGAAAACGTAGCGGGAGAAGTGCGACACCGAGCGGCCGAACATACGAGCCAAGACCGCAATACAAGCACTTCTACGGTAACATTTCTAACTAAAAATGTTCGTGTATAAAAAAAGAAGCCCTTACCCTAACAGTTTTCAAGTTTATACTTACATTTATACGTGCTATCTTCTCCAGCAGCTCCCGCTTCACTGTCCGCCATTGTTGTAAGTTTTTCTGCCGGCCGGCCCGCAAGGCATCTTGGGAAATGCTACCTGTTGAAGGATACACCCGACCCATCCTTCATTCAGGCGAAAAGAAGGCCGCATTCGTCGACCGCATTTGAAGGAGTCTTCGAATTGGGACAGGCCTAGTCGCGGCGCTGTGACGTAACCGGCCGACGAATCCGGCCGAGGTAGGATGCAGACCCTGAATTGAGACACAGCCATTAACGTCGAGGCTATAGACGCATCTGTAGCCATGTATCCATGCTATGCTACAGTTGCAGTTACAACAGCAGTTACAGTTGCTATGGTTGCGCTCTAAACCAAACTGATCGTGTGACCATTACAAACTCTACCTCATACAAACTTTACAGCACGTTACATATTTAACAAACCCATATTTTGTAATCACATATTTTAAACATGTTTTTTAATCATTGTTACACTTTTATCATCTTATCTAGTAATTAAATGAACCAAATTAAGCATCTCTCTATCACAGAAACATTTGAAATAAACAACTTTATTTTAACTGTCTCAGGGACCGTTACACTGGCAGTATATAGGTCCCCGGCACCAGACCACTCACAGAGAGAGAGCAACTCTAACACTGCCAGGCACTGATCAATTACTTACGCACGGGGGCAGAGTAACTCTGCCCGCCTGCCGTGTTGCCCTCTGTGCGCTGGCGTCTCCGGCCGCGGATCTCTCTCTCCGCTGTTGCTGCTGCTTCTCTTGCCGCCGCTGCTGCTGTCCGTGCCGCCGGTGGATCTCCTTCTAGTCCTTGCGGAGCTCGCGGTGTCCGTCTGGCTCCAGCCGAGTATTTTCCTTTCCCCTCACGTTTCCGGGTCTCCACGTCCGCTCCCTTAAATAAACAAAACCCTCCGCCCGTTCACCTCCCGCCCTGCCTCTGTTCATTGTTTGCCAGTCCAGTCCACACCCTGCTCCCAGGTGTGGGTAATTGGGGAGGATTAACACAGATGGGATGCAATGTTGCAGCAATCACTAAAAACACCCAAACAGTTAAAAATCAACCTAAAAGCACCTAATCAATTAGAAAACATGCAATATAAAGCATAACATAAGAACAACATTACCACTCTGTGACATGTCGCCACATTAGCATTTAAATGCTGAACCAATCTGGAATAAAGAGGGATGCTGACCAGTAGAGGTGGTTCACAACACTTTGCTTCCACAGTCTCACATCCTGGGTCGTCTTTCTCTTCCCCAGCTCTTCGATTTTCTTACCAATTCATGGAGAGCCAAATAGACCCACATTTAAAATAGAAAAAAAATCCTGTAATACATCCCCAAAGATTACCTTTTCCCATGTGCCAGGGGTCAAAGTAGTGACTGATTTCCTTTTTTTCCTCCCGCAAATATTTCTGCACCCATGTGTGGCGGTCAGTCACAACTTGCTGCACATCGACCCCCCTCTCCAAAAGTGCACTCAGACTTCGCACAAATCCTTCCTTCTCCATTCGCACACTATTTCCAACTTCAGTGCTCTGAAAATAAACAAAATTCTCCATTGATCTGTGAATAATTATCCATGAAATGTAATGGAATCATCAGGTAATGTTGTACCTGTACGAGTTGGATATCAATAACTTTGTTTCTTTTGAGATCCATCATGGTGTAGCTGCCATATTTGGCTGAGTGTCCTTCAGAAATGCAAGTCATTACTTAATTTACATTTGATAGCAAAGGAATAAAATAAATAAATTTAAACATATTCACCAGGTGAATCAGCTCGCATGTCACCACCAAGAGTCACAAGTCCAGATTCAGAAGCCTCCTGGATGATATCAGCTTGCTCTAGATGCCACTGCCAGCTCACTGTTGGAATTAACAGCTTTGACAGAATGTCTGTTTGGACAGTCCCTGCACATTGAAGGCACCCAGGAACTAAAATATGAAAAGTTACGTCATGAAATGAGAGATGCACAGACCTTATCAAAACTAACCTAAACATTTTTGGCCTATACCTTAGAAATCTGGCTAAATGATGAGCCACACTTTCTGGAAGATGAATTTCTGTCATGGTCCTTGTGTCACAAGACACACAGCAGCTGGGAGCTCTAAACTGGGTGGCTATATAAAAAACAAAGAAACAGCACATTTATAAATGCTTAAAAGAGCATAAAATCACGTGTAACAATAATCTGTAAAACAAATTAAAACTAGAAGGTAATAATAAAATGTTTACATAGAAGATTATTACAAATAATTCACCTTTGCTACGGGTAAGGCTTCACGTCAGCCTGGACAAGTGCATTCTTGCAGACTAGTAAATCAGTCTGACAGCCAATGGGTAGATTTAGCCTGAAAAAAAATAGAAGCACATTGTTGTTGGAGTTTATAAAGTCAGATAATATACAAAATAAACTGTCCTATATAGGCGCTTTGTAACATTCCTAGTGTGTGATCGTTATTCTAACGTAAAAGTCAGTCACATATGATGTGAAGAGCCTGAAATGCGACCTCCTGAAGACAGAATTACTTACAGAACCGGGTCACGCTGTGCTGGATTTCACGCTGTAATGCTGTCTGTCAACTAGTGCTGCGTTAATTAGTCACTGTTGCAGAATTACCGACTGACACAAAAGCAACCCGAATTTTCTCCGAGCCTGACAGTAATAGTCATGTGGACCGTTTTGTCGGCCAGGGCTTCGAGATATGTTCCGATTCGCCGCTGATTCTAACCTTACATCCCGTTCCACATTTTGTGAACTTGACAAATTAGCCCGAAGGCAGTGCAGACCTAAGTAAACCACGTCTCTCAAACTTTGCATTTAGGTAGGGAATTGAGCTGCAGTATATCTGCGGTCAGGTCTCTCTACGAGTCTGAGAGCTCCACGAGCGGTCAGCCCCGTGCGAGAGCTCCACGAGCGGTCAGCCCCGTCCGAGAGCTCCACGAGCGGTCAGCCCCGTCCGAGAGCTCCACGAGTGGTCAGCCCCGTCCGAGAGCAGCTAGTAGGCGCCGCATCGGTAAGATCGCCGGGGAGAACCGAGTGGAAGAATGGAACACAGAAGTGTCCCTCCAAGAGCTCCGTCATATTTCAACCCATTTTTATTTTAAATGCACTGGGTTTTACCCTTGTACCCAACGACATATGCCCTATTAATTATTGTACCGTATTTTACATATAAATTTCATGGTTAAACAGTACATGCTACATGTTAAAATGATAGTTAGCTAGCTACATCGATAAACTCAGCTAGTTTAAAGGCGGCAGTGACTTAAAATACACACATATACTTTAACTTACCGAAAAAAAAAAATGAAGTGGAGACTCCTTGGACGCTCTATTAATGCAAATAATGCCACAGCAAGTCATTTTGTCCAACAATTGCACCAATAATATCCAAAACAGAATACCCAAACAGAGAGACTCAAAATCCCGAAACAGTTTTCAAGCCAGACCGAGGCTCTACTGAGGCCTTTCCACGGAGCTAGCTCTGTGGTCACGTGGGTCTGATGCTCATTAATTATACAGAATTTTAGGCTTTTAATACACTTAAACAGAAGAGTGAGAAAAAAATTCACCCCCCTCAGAGTTGTCATGAGTGTAAACTAGATCATTTAAACCAAAAACATGTTCTGGTACCAGGCTGTAAACATGTTTATTTCTGCTGTGAAATTGGTATTTTTAACATGGGAGTCAATGAGGATTCGCTCGCTTCTGACACCAGCCCCTAGTGGATGAGGGTGGAACTGCAATTTATGGTTCTTCCGGGTTGGGACCAATTTTAGAGCCGCACTGTGGGGGCTTGGCTTTACCAAAATATATCACTTAATCATCGTATAGAAACTTTTTCTTCTTTCCGTTATTGTTGAGGTCGAGAATAAAACATACAGCCCTATGGAAAATGATGGAAAAGGGAGGAAAGTGAAAGTTCAGAAACTGAGTAAAACTCTAAGCTACAATGCTTGGTCTCATGGTCAAACCACAACAATATCAAAGGAACCTGTGTTTTTAGGCTGTCTGTTTAGTCCTTCTCTGCGTTGATGAATTTTTCATTGCTTATCAACAAAGCCAGGCAGGAGTATATTCTATCAAAAAAGCCTCTGAACACAGTCACACACACACACACACACACACACACACACACACACACAAAGAAGTTCAATTGTCTCCACGCTTGGTTGCAGTGTAACAAGTCCAGGCTCCGCATTAGTGCCCGTAGGTGAAAAAGAAAAGGCGTGAGGACCCTCTCCAAGGAGAGGAAGTCCTAAGGGGGGGGGGGGGGGGGGATCAAAGACATAACAACACAGAGCTCAAGTTTTGCACATAAAACCTAGAATACTTCTTTCCCTCTGTTTCCTCCAAGATCAAGGTGTACAAAAAGTTTCAAATTAAAACTTTGCAGTGCTTTGAAAGGATAATTTGATGCTTTGACACATGGGTTGCAATACCCACATTAGACCACAGGATGTCATTCTTACTTTATGCACCTTTATCAAGAACCTGTACTTAAAAAGCATTTTTGATTTTTTGTCATGGCCTGTGCTGAGTTAACCTCTGTGTTGGATCTGAGCCTTTCTTTTGTGCAGGTGGGCGTGTCCCGGAGAGCAGCTGTTGCAGATCATTCTCATCAATGGTCAAGGGATTTAAGGAGCACTGTGACAACTCACCAGTGCTGGATGATTACTCAGTATTGGGTAGTTTCTAGCCTGTGCTCTTGTCTGCCTAAAGATTCTTTTTGTTTCCTGTATTTTGCTATCCTCGTATTAATCTGCCCTATTCTCCCGACCTACCCAGATTCTCCTCGTCAGCCAAAGAACACCCTTCTACAATACTCCTTGTATCAACCCTGCCTTTCAGCCACATCGCTTGCCTCTGACCACCTGCTCTCCACCACTCACCTGCCTGTCCGGAAAAACCTGGACTCCAAGTCTTCCGTGCTCAGCCTCCAGTCTCTGTCTCTGTCTCTCGACCATCCCGCTCAGCCAGACCAGACTTGCCCTCCTCTTAAGCTCCAAAACATCCATGAAACCGTAAGCCTCCTCTCCCTTGGCTTCGTTTACTATTAACTTTAAGATACTCACGCCTGTTTTCTCTTCAGAACCTATCGAAGCCTCCAATCCCCGGATCTCCACATTCACCTCAACCAAGCAAAATAAATAACATTATTTTACTTACTTTCTGTCTCCCTCGGTGATTCTACATGTCGTGGGTCAAAAATCTACACCCAAACATGACTTTTTTTTTCATAAAATTTCTTTTCCCACCAAAAATCCAACACACTAGCACAGTAGAACATCTGGCCTTGGACAAATCCAGATTAACAGCTTGTCATAAACATACACATTGACATAATAAACTCTGACCTGAAAAATGGCTTTATTTAAAGCATTGTATACAATCATAGTAAATCTATTTAAATAAAAGGCATTTTTAAATTTCAGTGAAGGAGCAAATGAACAATCTGACATTGAATGTGAAATGTCAGTTTAGGAATGCAAAATTAAAAGAAAATGCTGAAATGTGTCATACCTCTTTGTACTATGCAATGAACAGTTCTGTCAAAAGTATTTAATAGTGTTCGAATGCAATTGTAAACTTTAATAGTGAAGAACAATAAATGCACAGTGGTCTGGTGTGGTGTAAGAAATGTTAAATCACTTATGTGTCTACAGCCAGAACTCAACTAGAAGTGGGCTTAGTCTAGAATCTGACCAAAGCAATTCTGATTGGTAGTCCAATCAGTGACTAATTCCTGGTATTTGGAACCATTTGTCATGCTATCTGACAGATATCTCGCCCCTCATAACTCAATCCCAGCTCCTGGATGAAACACCGGACATTTTATTCCATGTAGGACCCTAATCCACCTAGCTGTACCCCTGTTGCAATATTAAATGCGAGGAGTCGTAAAAAGTAGCACAACAAAACAATTTTATGGAATAAACTGCAGCTAGTAGCCTTGAAAAATAACTTACTTGAGCGTCTTGCTGGTTCTGGTCCATTTTGCTGGTGCAGGTGAAACTCCCGCTCCAGATCAGGGCGGGTATTAGCCAGGCTGTGCGCAGATGCTGCAGCCACACAGGAAAATCCACAGAGTGTCAAAACGAGCGCACCCCAAAGAGGTTTGTTCCCACCCAGTCCCACAAGTCTTTCTATTGGCTGAGCAGTTGCTAGGAGATTGTACTTCCCAAGTTTTGAGAGAGAGCAGATGAAATCCGTGAGAGCAGGGGACAGACTTGTGGGAGGAGTTTTGATCCATGCAGAGAAAAAGTTTTCACGTGAGAAGACAATACCGGTGTAAGAAGGTTAAATCTGAGCGCAGAAACAAAGATTTGAAGGAGAACAGAGTGAATTTGAAAGAGAGCAGACATTTTGAGCGCAACCATTACAAGTTTTGAGAGCAATAATATAAAATCTTATTCTGAAATTAAAAAGTTGGTCTCTTGATGAAATTCTGCTCTCAAATTGAAAGTTCAAGCGCTCAATTTCTGGCACTTTAATTCTTCCACGCCTCCAGGGTGCCAAAACTCCCATCAGCTGAGTGAGCAGAATCAGAACCGAGCGCGCAGAAAGGCCGCCACATGCGCAGTGAGGCTGCCGCGCGCATGTTTTCCTCTGCTGTGTGCTCGTTGGCCAACGCGCGCACGCAGGTTTGTCACTTGTGCACATCCTTGTGCGCTCACAGACACAGTTTGCTCCCTCTCAGTGTACAAATGACCTCCTCGCCATGTATATCTTCACTCGAGGAGGTTCTAACTTCCACGCGCGAGTCCCGTTCGTACGCGCGATGTGGACAATACGGAATATGGCGGAATTCTGACGCCATAGACATTCCTCCCAATCACACCCCTCCAGGCCATGCTGTCATTGCCCATGTGAGCATTCAAGTCCCCCAGTAGGACAATGGAGTCCCCTGATGGAGCACTATCTAGCAGTCTTCCCAGGGACTCCAAAAAGGGTGGGTACTCTGAACTGACAGTTGGCCCATAAGCACAAACAACAGTCAGGACCCGTTCCCCGACTCGAAGGCGCAGGGAAGCTACCTTCTCATCCCCGGGGTAAACCCCAACACACAGGCAGAGAGTCTTGGGGCTAACAAAAACCAACCCCAGCCCTCCGCCTCTCATCCGGAGCAACTCCAACAAAGGAGAGTGTCTACCCCCTCTCAAGGACTTGGGTTCCAGAGCCAATGCTATGTGTCGAGGTGAGTCTGACTATATCTAGCGGTACCGCTCAACCTCTGCCACAAGCTCCTGCTCCTTCCCCGCCAGCGAGGTGACGTTCCTTGTCCCAAAAACCAGTTTCCTTGTCCGGGGATCAGACCGCCAAGGCTCCCTCCTCGGTCTGCCACCCGATCCACACTGCACACTCCCATGCAGAAAAATCCAAACGTATGTGTTACAACATCTGATCTGCCTCATATCTCCAGTTCTCTCCTAGTTTTCATAAACCAGAGTAAAAATGAGTGATTAAGGCACTGAGGACTTTGCATGAACCACATAATACAATTAGGCAAAGTTACATCAACGGCAGCACACTTCCAGCAGCTTAGCTTATTGTGGTAGCCCAGGTATCAAACATTGTGAACCAATAAGCAGCCTCATGCTAAATCATGTGGGTTTAAAAAAAACAACATAACCTTTTTAAGCATTGGTATGAAATTAGCCTCTAATGTAACTGTCTGTAGAAATGCAATAGCCACAGGACTATTTCTAGAGACTCCACCCACTTTCACTTATGTCATTGTTTCTTGGATAAATAACTGATAGAATAGTACTTTAAAATGACCAGAGATTACTTCAATGTTGATTTTCTGTGGAATCATCGGTTCAACTTTTCTTTGGACATGACACAGAAAACTAAATCATAAATCGGATGCAGCATTTCAGTCCAGATGCACTGATAAGAGTTCATCTCTGTGTTGGGGTCATCATACGAAGCTCTCTTCCATGTTGGAGCACAGCAGGAAGGAATCGACTAACCGCGGTTTGATCAGCTGCTGGTAGTCGGCGGCCTCGATGCTGTCTGGACAGCCTGCTGCCAGCCTCCTCAGAGCGGCCTGTACACACACACACACACACACACACACACACACACACACACACACACACACACACACACACACACACATTATTCACATGCACAAATGCTATCTGCTGTCAAAGATCATGCTGCGCTGCTCTATGTAACAACACACACGTGAATTTATTTAACGTTCAGCTTCTGTGAACCAGTCATATTAGTCAGCTTGTTTTCAGAAAACTGACAAATATTATTTTTCAAATCCTCGCCCTGTGGAAGTAATTACATTGGGCCTTGGCTTGGGGCTCTGATGTTCTACATGTATGTGTAACAAATAATAAACTCACTATGCTGCAGAGGAAGTCTACGGTCAGAGAAAATGAACACAAGTAATATGTTAGACGTTTAAATTGAATGGGCTATTCGAATGGTTTCTTTTTCTCCAGGACACACGCTCATTCAAAGAGAGGTTTACACACACACACACACACACACACACACACACACACACACACACACACACACACACACACACACACACACACACACACACACACACACACACACACACATACACACACACACACACACACACACACACACACACACACACACACACACACACACACAGAGAGAGATGTATTTTATACCTACCAGACAGGCGACCAGAACAGAGTCACTGTTATTTCTCTCAGTAGGGGAGCGACACAGTTCAATGAGACGAGGAACAGCTGAAGACCACAGAGGTGAAAATCGGTTACAAGCTTGTTCCATTTGTCAATCTAAAAATCACTTTTTTTATTGAGTATTTCTGTAAAGCAGTCTTTTTAATGAGGGTTTTAAACCCTTTCTGTAATATCGGCCAGGAGTTACCGTTTCTCAGCAATGCATTTTAAAATAAAATATTGATTATTAAAGATATATTTATGTGACTTCAGAGCTTTCACAAAGAGTTTTATGTTGTTTGAGGTGAGGCAGATGTGTGTAGGTTATGGGATTTCTCTACTCTTTTTGTCAGTTTGACTTCTGGTGTTTTGTTCAAGGACGGTTGACAAATGTAGACACAGAGCTGGGCAATAAAACAATAGCAGTTTACATATCCATATAAATTTTCCTCAACAGACATGAAAACGGGTCAGTATAAACCTTTGATATTTTGAACAGATGAACAGCCAAGGATAATAGGAGTTGCTACATGCTGGATCAATCATGTGGCTGGAATAAAGCCACGCAGACAGCACAGTAGCAGCTGGACGTGCTGCTAAAGGCTATTTGTGCATCTGTAGCCTCTTACAGAAGGCAGCAGGTAGGACATTGCTGGAAATATGGTAAATGGTCTGTATTTGATATAGCACCATCTTAAGTCCTAGAACCCCCCAAGGCCATTTACAACACAAACAGCCATTCACCTATGCACACATTCACACACTGGTAGTGATAAGCTACGATGTAGCCACAGCTGCCCCAGAGCGCACTGGCAGAGATGAGGGTGATGAGCACCAGCACCACCGGTCCCTCTGACCACCACCAGCAGGCAAGGTGGGTTAAGTGTCTTGCCCAAGGACACAACAGCAGCATTCTCTGCCTAGAGCTGGGATCAGTCCTACAACCCTCCAATTACTAGACAACACGCTCTACTTCCCGAGCTACTGCTGTCTCGAAAGTAAAAAAAAAAAAAAGTGTCTTGTTCAGTGTGGATGTTTGAAGCTAGACCAAAAACAAAAACAAAGTACCTGATGTTGGGCACAGGTTCTGACAAAGTACAGGAAAACCACCGATTTCTGTTTTAGCTGTTGAACCAGGTTCCACCTGATGGAGCAGTAGGATGTAAAACTTAACAATCTCCAAATGATGGTCAAAATGAAAATCCTCTCTGCTTTAAATTACAGGAACTTAACCTGATGGGTAAAAATCTTCTTCTTAAACTTGATGTAAAGTATCTGTCTTGTTCCTGGTTCCCCTTTTGAAACATCTGCTGCTTCCAAGCAGCAAAAGTCACTAAAAGTCTCCACCCACACCGCATTATTTACCCTCAGGAACTCATTATAATGTCTGATCAATGAGCTAGCTTCTGACTGCTCTCAGACTGTCATTATTGTTTGTTTTTATCTCATTGTAACACCTTTGTTTCGTTTATTCCACTATGGGAATATGTTGACTCACCAAGGGCCTCATTTATAAATTGTTGTGCAGAATCCTTCGTAAAATTTTACTTTAGATGAGTAAAAAATGTGTTTATGCAAATAAATTCATATAGATGCACACAATTGCTGCTTCATAAATCACACTGGCTCATACCCCGCCTCCTATCACACCCATTTTTGGCTATAAATGGTCAATGTAAAGCATTTCAGGAATACTCCGCATATAAATAAGCCATGTGATCTGTGGTATTGTTATAGGTATTATATGGGTACGTGAAAGATATAGAAAACTTGATTTGACTGAGAATGAAATCGAGGTGCCTGTGGGTGAGCTGAAGGCACAAAAAAGCATATTTTTTAGAGGTAATAGCTGTGCCGTCACAAATAAACAGAAGGCCTCTGATAAGTGCTAACCACACCTCCTTGAAACTGTGACACAATATGAGAAATTCACATTTCACACTTTGGATTAATTAAACTCTGATTGTTCAAATAACTGACGGCAATTACTGTAAAATACAAAAATGCACATTGACTGTTTGAAATCCTGTCTCATTAAAGTAACATGTAGTCTATGGGAAGGTAGGAGTTATTTTCTGATATATGCCATAGATTTAAACATATGATGTCTGTGGATTTTAAAGACACAGTTTGATGCTGGTAAAATGCTTATTTTGAACAGAGGCAAACTTTTTTTAGGTTTTGTGTGAAAAACAGGTAACAGAAATGAGACGAACATGACGCCGAGAAGAAGAGAAGATTAGTTTAGGGAGCTTCAAATTCTTTGTTCAGGATGACAGAAGGAGCATTAACTGGAGAAAACCACCATAAATCTGGTCATGTGGTGAGTAGCAGCTACGCTGGGGAGAAGAGATTTGTGACGTAGTTGTTTTAATTACGAATTTTTACAAGCTAATAAATCTCAAAGTGACAGACATAGTCGAATCACACGTAATTACTTTTCATTTAAATTGAATTAATACATTTGTCATTCAGGGCATAAGGCAAAGCAGAATAGAAAACAGTTCTTATGGCCCCGCTGACTTGCATCCATTCTTCTTTGTTCCAGGGACCCATGAGCCAACGGGAAGTGGAAGAACCTTGGGCTCCCTATTACTTTAAAAATGCAAAAAGTTAATAATTGTTTTCATGTATAATTATAAGAATTTTCCTAGGTGGGCCGCCTGAATGTTTTTTCCACACAAAAATACCTCTAGAACACCAAATGCTGATATTATTGGTCGTGACAGCGCCACAAAACCAAACAAAACATCCAGTGTGGCAACATGGGGTCAGTTCGGCTGCTGCAACCCACTCCTGACCTCATCTGCCCCACTCGCCAGAACACTTTTAAAACCAGCGAAACCCCGGATGTGCACCGAGCAAACACTTTTCATATTGTCACATTTTATGCTTTTCCTCCCAACCGACACTTTCTCATTTAAGAAATAAATAGTTCAATTGTTACCGGTAGCTTGTTCAAACAGCTGTCAGCTCTGGACTGTCATTGGTTTTGTCCCGCCTGTTCCATCTGCTGATTGGTCCTTTTTCATTTTCGCCCATCTGTACCATTTTTTGAACGGTTTTGTTACTTTTTTACTGTTGTTTTTTACTCGACAACGAAAATGTCGATCATTCATTATAAATTTGTTTATTACAGGAGTTTATTTTTTTGGTTTTGTTTAGTTTGCATGTGCAAAAATTAATTTGTCACAAAAATAAACAAAAGATAAAATATTTTTTGTCAACAAAACTAACAGATTTTTTGCTACATATTTTCGTTCAGATTCTCATTTTTATTTTCAGATCTGAAACGAGGGTATGGGGCTGTGCTCGAGTGTGTGTGTGTGTGTGTGTGTGTGTGTGTGTGTGTGTGTGTGTGTGTGTGTGTGTGTGGTCTACAAATCTGAAAATGTGGCCTGATTTAACCAGTTGCCATTCTGCTGGCTGTACTGCCAGTTTCCCCATCTCCAGCATGTACGTGCACAGGGGTCAAGTGTACATTTTACAGTCACATATTGTTTCTATACAAAACAAAGTTTCCATAAAAGTGACTAACCCTTTGATGCATAATGGTCACTACAGTGGACAGGTACTTAAAATTGTTATTTATTTATTTTTGCTATTAAGCACAGCTGTTGAAGACTTTATTGCATTTGAGCCCCTCCATCTGTACTTCAGTAAGTCAAGCCAACATTTTTCATGTTCAGATTGCACACTGTCCACTGAGGTGGACATGTAATAAATTATTTGTAAATTAAATTTTACAAAAAATATGTAAATATGAAATTTGTTTCATTCACACCTAAAGATGAATGAAAAAAATTGTTTAAAAAATCATGGTTGACGATTTCATAATTCATGCATCAAAGGGCAAATGCAACGTTCAGACCCAAGCTTTATGAGTGAGGCCTTAGATTATAGAACAAACAAAATTCATTGTCTTTTCTTTTAAAAGTAACTTTCACTGTCATAACATACCTATGTTCGGTTAAATGGTCCATATTTGTATAGCACCTTCCCCACAACACTGGTGGGGATGAGCTATCCCCGGAAATTCAGCCAGAACACAGCAGTAAAACGTTAAATCAGGGAATTGCAGAAGATTCTGCTGATAAGGCAGCCACAGCTGCCCTGGGGCACACTGACAGAGGCGAGGCTTGCCTAACACTGGCGCTACTGGTCCCTCTGACCACCACCAGCAGGCAGGGTGAGTTAAATGTCTTGCCCAAGGACACAACAGCAGAATTCTATGGTCAGAGCTAAAATCGAACCTGCAACCTTCCGATTACTGGACAACCCGCTCTACCTCCTGAGCTACTGCAGTCCCATAACATACTTATGTTTGCTTAAGCACAATTTAAACAGTCAAACACTTTTCACACCATACATTACATTTTCTGAATGTTCAAGCTTTCGAAAAACAAGTAAAAACAGTGAAGAAAGTTACTGAGTCAACAGCAGATTTTTTCAAGGAAATATAAAATCAATTAGCATTTTTTTAAGCTACAAGAAATCATTTTGTTTCTGCTAAAATAATCTAGAATATTCTGATATAAAGACTGTGGTGATATTGTGCTAATCTTGGCTTGGTCTGTTCTTCTTAGTTAGAAGAGAACGCTCCACAGATAAAGAACAAGGAAAAAGAAGTCAAAATGCTTCATTCTGAGTTTCTTCTTTTTGCAATAATGACATTAGTTTTTAGTTAAAATCAAATATGTAAAATAAGTTTTATGAATAAATATATCATAGAAAAAAAACTGCTTGTTTTTTGTCTTTGATGGGACACGAAATGTAAAGTACAAAAAAAGCGATCAAAGTGAGGACATTTAACTCCAACAGACCTGCAATTTCTGAAAACAACTTCAGAAATTACAGAACAAGACAACTTCTCCAATGGGTATAACCTGAAGACCCGGAAATTCAGCCAGAACACAGCAGTAAAACGTTAAATCAGGGAATCGCAGAAGATTCTGCTGATAGGAAAACTGGGGATGGAGCAGCGTATGCTGCAATGCAGGGAGAGGGGGCGGGACTGTCTCAGTGCCAGCTATGGGAGCTCCTCTTCAGCCTGTGGATTCAACGCCTCTCCTCAAAATGACACAGACAGTTAGTACAGCCCACAGAAGTTCAAGTATCCAAAAATCCAATGTCAGAGTGAAGTACAGGCAAGGGCATACACAACCTGCTGTTCACTGAAGTCTCTAGTGTGTTTTATTTTCACAGATTTTGTTTTTATTTCTCACGCCTCAATGCTGCGTGTCATTAACTGAAGAATCAGTAGTAGCTGTGTAAAATATGTCACCTTTTAGCTGGATGGCTGTTTGGGCCACATCAGGGTCTCGGCTCAGGCGGGCCAGTGTGACAGCAGCCTTCTGCTGGACTCGCTCACAAGCGGCACCCTCTGATGGATTTGGAGAGGAGGGCTTTTCTCCCAGAAGCAGCAATAGTCTCTCTACTCCTGATAAAAGACACGTGTTGGTTTGATACTGATCAGCATGACATCAAAGATGAAAACATCAGCAGTACAACATCATAAAAACTGAACAAAATCACAAACAGGTCAACGTTTTTGGTCAAAAAGCATCAACAGACACAAAGACCTGTAAAAGGAAATAAAATGAGTCAGATTTTTTAAATGATCTGAACTCAAAACACTCGAAACCATGTCCCACAATCGTGTTTCATGATAATGACACAATGAAATAACTACTGTTGCTGTTATTGGACCTGGGATGAGAAAACACGAGTCTGTTTCCACAGAAGCTGGACTAAATCGTTTAACAGTGAAATAGGAAATGATTTCTATTCTTCTTTACAGACGTTATCTGATGCTGCCCTCTAGAGGAGAAACAAGGAAGTTCAATGGAAATTCAAGATGAGTTCTTAAACGGGGGAAACCGCTCCAGTAGAGAGTTTTGCTTAAAAGTTAAACAAGCCAAGATTGTGTGTGACAGTCAGCAGCAGTTTAGTACATTTAGTAGTAAATAACTGATGGTAGTTATGGAACAGTTACCTTGTTCCTGCAGGACTTCAGGAACACATGGTTCTAAGACAGAAAGGTTTGCCAAAATCGTCACCACCTGAGATTTAAAAAACAACTATGAGACAAACAGGTCACGTTTGTAACACGTTTACTTTTCTGTTTAAAAAGAACAAAAATCAGCTCTGCTGTCTGTTTGTTGGATGTTTGTGATGTTTTCAGTGGGTATAAAAACAGCTACAGGTCTTTTTAATATGTATGATGTTTGGATTCTCATCTAATGAGTCTACTGAATACTCCAAATTTAAATGCACATAGAAATCATTCCCATGATGCTGCATCCTCCAGAGAGTCTTTGTGGTCCATATGGAAGATCTTTTGATCACATTTCTACCCAACTCAACTTTTATTTATATGTAGCTTTACATGTACAAAGTAACACCAAAGCGCTGTACAAGAAATAAAAGAGGCTGAACAACAGAATTAAAAGAAATTAGTACACAATGAAAGTGGTTTAAAACAGAATAATATAAATTGAAGTAGAAGCCCTCACAGAGATAGGTAGCTAATTCCAAAGCTTAGGGCCTGCCACAGAAAATGACCTGTCTCCTCACGTCTTGTTCTGGGCACAGAGAGCAGGAGACGGTTCTCTGAACAACGTGCTCATACTGGGGTACATTGCTGTAACAGAAACTGCAAGTAAGCTGGAGCTAAACCAATCAGATATTTATAAACCAATAAAAGATCTCAAAACAAACTAAACTCATCAGGCAGCCACTGCAGTTCAGACAGGACCGGAGTAACATGGTCAAACTTCCTTTTACCCACTAGAAATGTGGCAGCTGCCTTTTGTACAAGTTGTAACCTTGCTAAGGTGCCCTGCTTCATCCCATGTAGAACCGAGTTACAATAATCAGCTACTGCCTCCAGATCATGTTGTGTCAGGAATGGTTTCACTTTTGCCAAATAAAAAGTAAACTCCATTTACATGTGCTTCCAAACCCAACGCAATGTCAAATTTTACTCCAAGGTTCTAAAGGTTTGGACTGATGTGAAACAGTCTGAGGATCACATTCAACACCTGTTCTGTAGGTTTTATACAGCTGAAAGCTCACGCCTCTGTTAATGTACTCTATTTTGATGGATATTGCTTTTTTTATTAAATTAAACTTGAGATAAATGGTCTCAGAACATGAGACAGAAGACAAATTCAGAATCCTCGCCTGACTACATGAACATCTATCCTTTTATTAAGGAGCGCCTTGACGGCTGCTCTCGTGGTGTGCCTGTATCTGTTTTGTTCTATGTGTGTGTGTGTTTAACCTTGGTCAGGTTGTACTGCGGAGACAAAGTTTTATGCTTCAGGATGCTGGGGCATTGACAATAAAGTTATTCTGATTCTGATCCTGGCAAGCCATCCTGCATAAATGTATAGGATGGAGCTCGGTCATGGGGCAAAATCGTTGACATATATATATTGGGCATTTAATTTCCACGGGCTCGAATTATAGGCTTTTGTTTCCAAGTGGGAGGTTCCCACCACCACCATTTTGACCGTGTCACACGTTCCATCATGCCCAGACAATCCAAAAATAGAAAAAGAGGAGGAGCTGAGGGTGGGGCTGTTACAGTTGGAACAAAGGAACCAATGTAGCTACTAGCTAACTTAGCTAACCCCAGAAGCTAAGAAGGGCTCCAGGGACTGGTAGCCCACCTGCACGGGAGCCAGTTGCACCTTGCGAGGCTGTAGTCATGCCTGTTAGATCTAATATGGACTGGGACTGTTAAATTACAAGCAGTTGCCGGGTGCTGTGGCCTTTTACATCAGCTCTTGCGCCACGGTCAAAGATCAGCGGGTCATTAACTGCATGCTAACCTGAAGCTAAAAGAGTTTGTCCAGGCATTTTTAGAAAGAAAAATGCAGAAGAGAGTCTTCAAAGTGAAGGCATCTCCAGCCTGCTTAGTAACAAAATCATAAATAGGTAAGCTAGCCAAGAATATTGAGCTTCGCTGTTCCACCACAGTCAGTCATACGCAAGTCTGCCATTATAGACAGTCCTGGCTCCATGTCAAATGACCAAGAGGTGTTATGGTAAATGCCTAGAATTTTCCCCCGTTCAACCAGCAAACCTTTTAGCGGGAAAAATGCTGTTCAGCGACTCAAAAGTGAAGCAGAGTCAACTAAACGACCTGCAGTGTTTCTGTGGTCTCCATTAGAGATCTACGAGTGACCAGCATGACTACAGTCTCACATCGGAGCCGACCGCGAGTCCTGGCTGTCCCAGGAAACAGGAACAGCCAGCCGCCTGCTCTAACAACTGTTCCCGGCCAGGAGACAGAATGGAGGCCCATCCTGCAAGTTGAAAAACAGCAGGAGACAGCCATTTTCTCCATGTCCCCCCAAAAAATGAAATGGAATTTTTTCCCCTGGTCCTGAAGAAAAGAAAATTGTCTCTGCAGTACAGCCTGACCAAGATTACACAGGCAGACCATGAGAGCTGCCTTTTAAGCCGTTCGTCTTTTTAACACCTTAATCTAACATCTGAAACGTCTCCCAGCCTTCCTTAGTGTCTACAGGAGTGATTCATCAATAAATTAAACAAATCAACAGTGTTCACGATCTAAAGCATGCAGAAAAAATGCTGGGCCAGACTGCAGCGTCAGGTATGTCAGCTTTTTTCTAAGTCCAAAAGAGCGGACTGACAACTGTGAAGTTGCCAGTGTAATATTTAGGCCACAGGGGGCAATAGGGGCTGGGTGGCCTTTCATTAACCTTGTAAAGTGTTGTTTTAGCGCAACTGGCTTGGAATTGTGTTGCAAAGCACCTTGGGGGTTCAAGGACTTTAGAAGGCGCTATAACAAATACAGGTAATTTTAAAAATATGAAAAAGTTGCAAAGGATGATGGTCCAGCTTTTTCAGGAGGACTGAAAAAAGACATCTTCATCAAAAGATAACCAAGATTAACCCTCTCAGGCTCTAAATAAGTTTTGATAAAAGGATGAACAACTAAGTCCTTCTGAGTTAAAAAATGCTCATGAAATATGTATGTGGAGTAACCAGGTAGGTAGGTAGGTTTTAACTGTTGCAAATCTGCAACGCCTTGCTCCAGAGGGTTAAACAAAGTTGGGTTCACAGGAATCCACTCCTTCAGAAATGTGATCGAAACATCTCACATGTGGATCAGGAGACAATCCTCGTCCTCATTTTTATCAAACTACTCAAAATAAAAGCTCGGTACGCAGCACTTTTCTTTTAAATTAGTATAGTTCATTTCGGCTTCAGTTGCAGACGAACTGAACTGCATACCTGGTCTTTTGAGTAGGGCGTGTCGACTCTCTGACGGTCGATGCAGGCCTGCAGCAGGATGTGGATAGCGTTCAGCTGCAGCAGAATCTCACAGGCCATGCTATCAAAGAAAGTGATGTTGGCCAAGGCTGCCGAGGCCAGGAGAAACACTTCACCACAGGAGGCGCTCTCGCATAGCTCTACAACAATCACAGCAGTTACTGAAGAGAGGTCCCACACAAGTCAGCCATGAAACAATCCTTTCAAGGTGAGTTTTCTAGATTTTCCAGCACCTTCGGGTGGTAATGATTCACACACAGTGCAAGAACAGTACAAATATAGTCAGACAGTCTTAAAATCTTGAACAATACCACATGAGTTTACAAAGATTTCAAGCACTCAAAGAAAATCAAGCATTTGGATTGGATTTGTTTTCTCTAGAATTAAATCCTTGTCTATTTATATATTCCTCTTTGAGCTCAGTTGGGTTAAAGGTTACGTTGGAATCACTCACTGATGAGGGCGGTGACTATGTCATGCATGCTCTCCAGGAAGCTGGCGAGATGCTGTGTGGACGTGTGGTGAGGTGAAGTGATCTGGGCCACAACAGCCGCTGCCTCGGCTCTGGCCGCTTCCACGCTGCTCTCATCAGTCAGGATGTCGGCCAAACACAGAATCCCATCAACCTACAGGGGGAGACAGAGAGGGAGACAGCAGAATGAGTCACACGCCTGGGAGGTTTCTCATTTGAGAGGCAAGAGCGCTCCAAAACTTTATTAAAAGAGTTCTCAGAACAAAGCTTTTAATCTTAAGCTGGAGTTAACCCTAACCCTAACCACCCACTGGGCTTCAATATAGCTCTTCAGACACCTATGGGTGATGGTGCAGAGGGTTTGTCCATTAGTTGTACAGTCATTGCTATGAACCCCTGGGCCCTTTTGATGTGAAGGAACATCTCTCCAACCTCTTTCCAAGAGTGTGCCCTTGGAGGACGCTCAAAGATAAATAAGAGCATGAGATCCTTGAAGTCATCTACATGGGACCGAAGCACGTCACCAACCAGGAGGTCCAGGCTTGATGGTGAAAAGGCAGTGATGCAATCTAAACCAAAGACATTCTATCTGTAGTGTGTGGTTACCCTGGTGGAGTCCAAGAGAACCAATATCTCACTCTGGATGTACACCCCATTATCCCATTACCCCACAGTAGTCAAGTCAAAGTCAAAGTCATTTATTGTCATTTCTACCACATGTGCAAGACATACAGAGAAACGAAAGTACTCCACAGACCTCATTAAAGGACACGATCATAAAGCAAGTCAACAAAAATTATTTCCTTATTTTTATTTTCATTTATTCCTGAGCGAATCAAAGTAGAAACGTTTCAGCTCCCTGCATACGTATGGTAAAAAATAATCTAGAGTCTGCTGAACAATCATCCTGAACCCTAACCCTAGTACTAGGAGACAGTTCCGTTAACACCTGCAGCTCTCTGAAGGTGAGACCCTGTTTCCAGAGTGGAGGTGGTGCTCTCACATGCATCCATCCAGCTTGTGTGCATTACTGAGTTACAGCAGAGCACTTCTCTGTAAAAATATTACTCATCTAGTCATTCACTAATAAAATCTTTGTGGTTTTGTGCTTGTGTGCAGGAGTTGCTCCGGAGCTCAATATCTCCACTTGGGGGCAGTGTTGCTCAAATTAAAAGCCCTAAACAGTTACTCTGCACCCGTAAAAAGTCCTTGCCCTTAAGCTTTATTGCATGTGAGAGTTTTTAGCAGCGCTAAATAACCCAGACTACAAATTCAATTTGAAAGACAATCAGCAGCACGATTTTCACTGTTGAGAAGTGAAAGGTAAATCACAGCACTGGAGACTTCTGTTTGCATGGTCAAAACCAGCATATTTGTTTAATATCTGTCACTTTAATTTAGAGAGAAATCTCAAAAGCAGCACCGGCTCTGAGTCCTTCACAAAAGTTTACCAACAAACACCTGAAGTGAAGCAAACTCTCAGCTCTCTGTCAGCCACAGCTGTCAGTCTTATCTGCAGACGAGCATCAGCATGTCGAGCTTCACAGGACATCTCTCTATTTTGGTCTCCGTGGACGTCAGCAGCACAGTGCGAGAGCAACCCACTGACGTGGAACCATCCACTCTCCACGCCTACGTTCATCTACCGCACCTTCTTCTCCCCTCTTTCCCACCCGGACCTCGTCCTTCTGCCTAAAAACAGGATGTTCCCCTACTCCTCATTTACAGGACAGTAAAATGTGTCTGCTTTACACCATCCTGAGCTTTAAAGACATTTATTATGAGTCAAACTAAAAAACTGAACTGAGCAACAACTGAACTTTTGATACTGAAAAGTTAAACAAGAATAAATGAATGAAAGCAGAATAAAACATCTGTTAAAATGACTAAAGTGTTCAGTTTATTGTTTTTTTAATGAACATTCTGTTTATTTTTGAGCGTGTTTGTGGTGCGTTTTGGGCCTCAGCGATCGGTTTAGGTCTCCAACATCACTTTATAATAACACATTAAATTATTCTACTTCTAAATGTTGAATTGTACAACCTTTTCCATTTATGTTATACAAAAGAACCACTGTGAAACATGAACATTCCAAAGAAACATGGTAAAATTTTTATCCTTTCATGTTAAAGGCAAGAAAATAATTGTGAAAGTCTCTAGTTTTGCCCTTTTCATTCATTTGAGGAAAAAAGGTAATAATAATAATAATAATAATAATAATAATAATAATAATAATGTAAAATAATAACCAGTGGATAATTTTCATTTTCACTATTGTGATCATTACTAATGTGCCACCTGAGGATAAAACTAGGAAGTTGTATCCACCAGTGATCAGGCAGGAGGCCTGTTTCTGGATCTGTCATCAGCAGAGACAGTTGTCTTTGTCAAGCCTGAGCGCTCCAGAGCTCAGACTTGCCTGACAGCCTCTCCTCCGGGATCAGGCTGCGAATCCGGCGCGGACTTTGGTTCCTGTTACGCAGTATTCACACTCGGGTGATCAGCGCCATCCCAGCTGCTTTATGTGAACAGACCGCTGTGGCATCATTATTCACTGGAATCAGGTTGCATTTGTGTCTCTGTAAACGCCTGCCCGACACAGGTGTGCCAGTTGTTTATGTTGGTTTAATTCTCCAAAGAGAGAAAAGCATGGACAAACAATGATGGTTGTCTCGTTAGCTTTCTGTCTCCATCCAACCTTTTCCTACTTTAAATACACACACACACATACACACACACACACACACACACACACACACACACACACGCACGCACGCACGCACGCACACACACAGGCACGCCACAGAGTCATGAGGTGTTTATCTTCTGTGAAATGCTGCTAACAGAGGAAACACTTATCCTTGGATTCACAATAGGATGCTTATTATCTCTATGTCAACCAGATATTTATGGTGGCTTTTCAGGCCTTAGGTCACTTAAGTCATTCAAATGGACATGTTGAACTTCCATCATATGAGAACAATGTGAAAATGAATCTGGCCGAGGAAAGCACCACATAATGTTTATCAGTAGGTGGTTAAGAATAGCTGCTAGTTCATCCACTGAAGATTTACCCGTGGACATCCTTGGTTTGAAGAAATAGAGAATGTTTTAAAGCAGTGCTCATCAATTGGCGGCCCGCGGGCCATGTGCAGAATCTGCTTAAGAGGAATTTAATGCTTAAAAATCTGAATAATTAATGAGCATCCACGTGACTTCAGTGCTAGCTCTGGAGAAAGGCCTCAGCCTCACGTCAATAGATGTTTCGCCGTTTCAACTCTCTCAGCTTTAGTTTTTTCTGTGTGTTTGTGTTCATGTTTGGATAATAATCATGGAATTAGTTGGACAAAAGGGCAAGCTGCGGTTACTAACAGACCATCCAAGCAGTTTCTGCTTCTTTTTATCAATAAGTAAATTAATATTTCTGTACTTTATTTTGTTGGTTGAATGGGGGGAAATGCTGTGTCATTGAACTGCTTGGTCAAATGCTAGTCGGGCTGCATAAGAACCTTGAGTGTTTCTCGGGGCAGCCAGGCTGGCTCTGAAGCGAGGCTGTAGTCATGCTGGTCAATTCCATGCTGTAGTTCTTGTTTTAAAACACAGAACAGTTTTGTTTACCTGTTTTCCCGCTACGTTTCGCTGATGGTGGCGTCACTTCCTTCTCCGTTTATCCGCGAGCAGCAGAGGACGTTGTCGCCCTCTGCTGCTCGCTCTCCCCTCTCCGATGATGCAGTCCCATGCGTGGTCCAATGTGTAAACTCCATCGTCCCTGTTCATGGTCCCACATCCACGTCTCCTTATCTCGATTGCTTCCTTTATCCATCTTTTGTATTTTTGTTGTTCGGCGTTTATGATCCTTGTGTTGTCCCAGTCCATTATATGGTTTTCTCTTGTGCAGTGATCTGTTACGGCTGACTTCTTTATTGTGCTTTCTGCTTCTTCTTTTGCTGCTCTTGTGTGTTTTCTACTTGCCTCTTTCTCACACTCCTTTCTATGTTCTATTGTTCGTGTGTTGAGTTGGCGTCCGGTTTCTCCTATGTATGTTTTATTGCAGAGTTTGCATGGGATTTCGTAAACGACTCCACATTTAAGTCCAGCTGGTATTTTGTCTTTTGGGTGTACTAGTCTGTTTCTAACTGTTGTGTATGATTTTGTTGGTGTGTTTATGTTGTGTTTTTTCATTGTTGCTCTTATTTTTTTTTCACGTCTTCTGCTGCTCGCGGATAAACGGAGAAGGAAGTGACACCACCATCAGCGTCAGCCTGAGGAAGTTTGCAGCCGCAAATGAAACGTAGCGGGAAAACAGGTAAACAAAACTGTTCTGTGTTTTAAAAAAGAACTACAGCATGGAATTAGAAATACGACACAGCAAGAACACACCTAAGGTGCTGGTCAATGGTGAGGGTGACCACAGAAACACCACAGCGCTTTTTCTTGACGCTGCTTCAATTTTGAGTCGCTCAACCACATTTTTCTAGCTTAAAACAGCCGGAAAAATTCCATTAGCTTTGGGTTAGAATGTAGCTAATGCCCTGCTTATCTCCGGATGGATCAAGGAAGCAATCGAGATAAGGAGACGTGGATGTGGGACCATGAACAGGGACGACGGAGTTTACACACTGGACCACGCACGGGACTGCATCGTCGGAGAGGGGAGAGCGGGCAGTAGAGGGCGACAACGTCCTCTGCTGCCCGCGGATAAATGAAGAAGGAAGTGACGCGCCACCATCAGCGTCAGCCTGAAGAAGCTGGCAGCCGTCTGCGAAACTGTAGCGTCAATAACAGGTAACAAAACCGTTTCTGTGTTTTAAAAAAGAACGACAACATGGAATTGGGTTAGCTAAGTTAGCTAGTAGCTACACTGGTACATCTGTTCCAACCCTGTTCCAAACGTAACAGCCCCACTCTTAGCTCCACCTCTTTTCCCATTTTTGGATTGTCTGGACGTGACGGGACCCGTGACACAGTCAAAATGGCGGGAACCTCTCATTTGGGAACCAAAACCTATAATCAGAACCTATGGACATGAATTGTCCAGTATATATGTCGATGGTTACCTGTAGAGCCGAAAGCATGCGACCCCCGCGTGACTCCTCAGATGTTGAAGGTCCTTCGGTTAATTCCACTGAGAAAATGCAATGCCAATTGTAGTTTTCTGGTGCTGTCGTTTCCGTATCTGCTCTGGGTCCTGCGCCTGTCAGTGATGTCATCGTATTACGGCAGTACCATTCGGCAAAAATATTTTGCATCTCTTTTTTTGATTCTGTTCTTTTACATATGTTTTGGAAAGAGTTTAGCAGTTTTGTTATTACATTCGTGTTTCTTACTGCCTAAATGACTTGAATGTGGTAATGTAACTTCCGTGAGTTGTACATCAAGCCAATCAACTAGTGTGAAGTCATCAACAGGCGCAGGATCTCGAGCCAGCCATTAAAAAATATGGCGTCTAATATGGCATCCCCCAAAGACGTTAGACCAGTATTACAAAGCTGCCAATATTTTTCAATGACTGGACATCATTTTATTCATTTTCAACAGTGGTTCTAAAGATATTTTAAGAGAGTAATGGTTCTAAACTACACATTGTCTCTTTAAGTATAACCTATTAAATATGGGGGCCCAAAGAGTTCAACATAAGTCAAAACCAACAACACATTGACAAACCCCACAACAGATGTAACAATAAAACAGAAGTAAAAAAAAAAAAACCTAAACTAGCAATAAACATCCAGTTCTAGTCAACCATACATGTATACTTTAATTACACCTAAACTCTAAATAAATGGGAGTCAACAGCAGTCAGCACTTGGCAATTGGACTCACTGCACAAGTTTAAGATTTTCCACTAGGATCCAGGGCCAAAACAGATTATCACGGTAGAAATCTACACCACAAATGAAAATGATGATACTTTTTGAGACTCCCAAGATCATTCAGGACAGTGAGGGATGCCAGGGCTCTATGCGACCGTCCATCGGAAATTTGAGTAATAAAAATCTGACTTTGCTTGCTGCTGTATGACAAACAAAACAATTCAAATCAACATTTTCATTAATATGATTAAAAATGACAAATATGTACTTTGAAATCATTAGCTTATTGATCCAGTCAGAACTTGTCTCAGTATGTACGACTGATATTATTTTCTCCCAACCTGATGAAAAAAAACCACATCTGTAGATCTGAATTATTCTTTTAAGTATTAACACACATGGGTAATGTAAAACATTCACTACCGTAACATCAGCAGCAATGACAGCAACACCTGTTATAAAATACAGAATAAAGGGTCCAATAAAATCTTCAATTCATAGATATTTGAAGACTTATGGAGTTAGCTGTAAATAAGGTCGGGGAATGATTCAAACGATGAGTCATTCTCTATTTGTTGGTCCTGATTGATGATAATTCCCAAAAGTTACCATTTATCTTGGTATCAGAAACACTAAATCCTCCATTTGTTGAGTTTTAGATTAAAATCAGCAGATACAGATGCTTGAATCTAAAAGGAGTTAAGTTAAATTTGAATAAATTATATGATTGTGCTCACAGCAGGCAGGGATTGTGGCCCTCACGAGCATCTATGTCTCTGCGTGAATGACAGATTTACCTTGTCCAGTTGGCTGATGCCGTCCTCCACGCAGCAGATGGAGGCTACTGTTCTCAGAGAGTGAGCGTAGAGGTCTCGGAAGCGGTCCTGTCGGCAGATCTTAAACAGAGCCACCACAGCACCTTCCTTTAGAAGTGGAAAAGAAAAAAATCTACTGATAAAAATAACCCATGTGATATCATAGTTCCATTAAAAACTTTTGAAGAGGGGTTGAAACAGATCAGTTTTGTTTGGATTGAGGAGCAAACAGTTACTCACATTGGGCAAACTGAGTTGGTTTTTAACATTATTGTTTTCCCAAAAAATATTCATAGCCCATTATTCAGCTGTATTTAATTACATGCGCGCGCGCACACACACACACACACACACGCACGCATGCACGCACACACACACACACACACACACACACACACACACACACACACACACACACACACACAAACTTCACACTTTATGGGTATTCCACTAGAATTCCTGTGAAATTCAATCCAGAGGTGCCCCAGTAGCTAGTAGAGGTGGGAAAAATGATCGATTCTAAGATGCATCGCGATTCAGCCGTGCACGATTCCGCATCGATGCAGCAACGTGACATAATGAGATTCTCTCCCTATGTCTATGTCGGGGGTCGGCAACCGCGGCTCTGGAGCCGCATGCGGCTCTTCCATCCATCTGATGCGGCTCTCTGTGCTTGTAAAATAATGAATGGATATTTAAATAAAATGCTTTATATTTTACTGCATTAATTTTACATCTGTATGCCAATTCTAAACGTAAAGATTGTCTGCGTAAACCTGAACAGTTCCAACCCGGTCTTACTGTGAGACCAGGTTGACGCGTAATGCTTGTGCGTAATCATAAAGGCGCATTCTGAGCTGACGAGGACGTGAGATTCTGGGATTCTCCTCAGCTCCTGGATGTGTCGCCACATTGGAGACAGGAACAAGCGCTATTCAGCCAAAGTTTCATAATCAGGGAACATTTTCTAAGTGACAAGTCTCGCTTCAGTCGGAGGAATCTTCCTGCGCTTTGGTTCTGCGACGTGCTCCAAGCCCCTCTCCACAACTTCAGCTCGCTGTGCGCCGTACGTACGCGCTGACAGCGAGCTGTGCTGAGCTCAGTGTCAAGCTCAGATGGGAATCATTTCTTAAGTGATTAGCTACATCTGCACGAAACGAATAAAGTGTCAGTTCGTCTGCATGCGTCGGGGTAATTCTTTCTATTCTTTCTCCGTCAAAATAAACGGTCAAACACGGTAACTATCCGGTCAACACAACACAAGCCCTGCTTTTAACTGTTCTGTTTTCTTGTGAAAATTGTTGCAAAGAGATATAATTTAACTTGATTAACACCAGAGCCAGGCACACTGCACCGTTATCTCCGTCACTGTAAATGAGGGAAAAACAAAATGATCGGATCCTTTTCTGACCTCCCCACCTACAAAGTTTAATTACAACAATCAAACGTGACAGAGCCTGGACTTGTATTCTGAACAGTCTAAACATGTTTTAAAAAGAAACGTATGACAAAAGTGGCACCTGCTCAGTAAAACCACCAACAGGGTGAAAAATACCAAATATTGTCAGCAGAGACGGGCTACAACTTCTGGATCCACTTTATATAAATCGTTTATTGATTATCTTCTTATGAAAGATAACTCTGACGTACACGAGCGACCGGTACTGGCTGCTGTCACCTGTTGTGAGCAGCTCTCTGCTGTCTGAGGGTAGGCCCCGCCCACAACGCCGCGGCTGCTGCGGTGTTTTCTTTACTGTGGGAAATGGGTAATAATGGCTTTTTGATGGGAACAGGTTGCCGACTCCTGGTCTATGTCTATGCAGGACAATAAAGTTTTGAGGTTTTATAATTACTTCTGGGGGCAGAGTTGCAATGACATGCGCACTGCATTGCCCTAGTGCCAATTTAAAACAGAAAAGGCGGACAGGGATACAGGGCCAACATTACCAGTAATCAAAGATTTACCCGTTACATTTAAATCGGATGTCTGGGCTAATTTCTGTTTTGGGATCCTGGATGTGAAAGAATCACTTAACACAGTATTTGTTTACTATTTTTAAGTTCAGTAATATTCTATCTTAAAGCTGCTCTACCAAAAACATTATTTCTTATATTATTTAAGTAATTATAGGCAGCACACTTTAAAAATTATTGCTCACTATAGTGAATAGATGAATGTTCTGTTTTTCAGGGATTTTGAAATCAAAAAGAAATTGAAAACTATTCTACTGCTTTTATTAAGTAATGAAAATTTTTGTGTGAAGAATCGTGATGCATTTCAGACTCAAATCGAATCGTTAGGCAGATAATCGGAATCGGATCGAATCGTGAGGCAGGTAGAGATGCACACCACTAGTAGCTAGCTCCATGGCTAGTTTCCAATGCAAATAACTATAGAATTCTATGTAAATTTATGGTTGATTAAATGTTTATACAATATTTTTTGCATGAATATTAGAGTTTTTTAGACAGGAGAAACACCTATGTTTATGTTCATTCATTTAGCAGACAGGTTGCATGTTTCAACTCAGACATGCCAGTGGCTCATCAGTCTGGTCAGAGCTAATCCATGTTAGTCCAAACTGAGGTTGATGTGAACAACAAGCAAATATATAAGTTCAGACTCGTTTTACAAAAACACTTCAAAAGATCTGAGTTGTGTTTTAAAAGTGTGTTTTGCTTGTTTAATCAAAACATTTGTTGTTTCACTTCTTATTGGATAACAGCAACGCAACTCTACCACTGAATCTGTTTGCTCTGCAACATTGATGTTTTACCTCCACAAATTACAAAAGCCTGAAGAAGCTCTGCTGTGTGGTGGAGCTGCTAACGCTAATGCTTCTACTAGCTGAAAAGAGCTCCTCTCTCTCCTGGAAGTTAAAACAACAAAGCTTTCAAAGGGTAAAGCCTGATTTATGCTTCTCCGTCTGCGTCAGTGCGGAGACACGCAACACCATTATCCGTCCTTGCGTAGGGCACGCAAGTACGTACGGAGTCGAGCCCACTTTTTTAAACATCCATCGAACGAGACGGATTACGCAAGCTTGTGATTGGTCAGGACGCCGCTGTTGTTTACAGCGCCGCCATTGCAAATAGAGCCGAGGATAACTAGCGGCAGACACGGAGAAGCTTGAAGAATATCTCGCGAAAAAACTCTAAAAATATGAACGTTTAATTCTCCCGTGACTGGAAGAGTGAAAAGATGCGCAGCAAGCATTTTATTTGTGGACGGAAATGACAGGAAATATGGGTTTAGAGGTGGGGAGCGCATGAAGCGGTGGGAGAATGAGAGACAAATATGTCCGTGTTTAAAGTCTCTTATATACACAAAAAACACAATTAAACACACAATCTTGGACCGATACATGACAGGATACCACAGAACAGCGCTACGCCCTCTGCTGTCCTGCCGGGCAATTGCTTTGCAACACTCTCCAGGAGACGGAGAAGTTAATGAGCAAAACGCTTCCATCAATCCGTGCGTGTCTGTCCCTTGCGGAGCTGACGGAGAAGCATAAACCAGGCTTAAGTCCATGAATGTTAATTGACAGTGTGACGTAGATCTGTCAGGCTTTTCTAATCTTAGTGTTCCAACATCTATTTTCTATCGGAAGCTAATGCAGGAGATAGGTGTAGGAGACTATTTTCATGTTCAGCCTGCATGAAAAACTCACAGTGGCCAATTACATTCAGAAATAATCATTAAAAAATGTTTTATCAGTGAACTACACCTTTAATATTACATAAATCATTTGTCTTTAAAGAAGGGACGGATAACCTATTCTCTTACAAACCCGTTTTAGTTTGATCAGGCTGAAAACGTCACATCAGCATACTCATTTGTCTTGCGTTAGAGGATGTTCAATATTTGAAGGCACATCTTGACCTGTGAGTCACACTGATACTAATCAAAGCAAACCTATTGCAACATTTTATTCTCAGTGATGGATTTTCCCTTCTAGCTTTACTTCTAGAGGGGAAAATCCAACCGTAAGGGTGTGTGTGTGTGTGTGTGTGTGTGTGTGTGTGTGTGTGTGTGTGTGTGTGTGTGTGTGTGTGTGTGTGCGTGTGTGTGGCTTCTGTTGGAGCAAGGAAACAACTAAAACAAGATGGATACCGGCCCTCCCAGGACCAGGATTGGGAATCTCTAGCCTACATTATATAACAGTGTAGCAAGGAACAGGGTTAGACTATCACTTTGTGCTTTTCTAAATCATTTCAAAAAGGGGAAATCTTGGCTTGATGCTGCATGACAAAGAGTCTTACTGTGAAGGAGTTTATTTCAGCTCTATTCAGCTAATTAGCATTTATTCAAGTACTCATAACCACTTGCAATGTAATAAGCAGCCATGAGTGAAACAGAAAAAAAACACCTAATGTCAAGGATCACAACAGGCTAAATATTTAGCAGGCAAAACCAACACCCACCCACACACACACCTCAGACCCTATGTGTGGTCCCAGCTGCTTTGAAAGCAGCAGTTGTTCGGCCGACCCTGAAGAAACCTGGTGCTGATGTCTCCATGATAGAAAATTACAGGCCTATCTCTACCCTGCCTTTTGCATCAAAACTGCTTGAGAAAGTCGTTTATCAGCAGCTGGTCTCACATTTAGCTGACTCTGATCTGTTTGAGGTTTTCCAATCAGGGTTCAGGTCTGGCCATAGCACAGAGTCGGCTCTACTGAGGGTCCTAAATGACATCTATCTATCACTAGATCAGGGTACATCTGTGGTGCTTCTGTTGTTAGACCTGACAGCAGCCTTTGACACAGTTGACCACGTGATTCTACTTGATCGCTTGGAACGATGGGTTGGGATCAAAGGGTCTGCTCTGGACTGGTTTAGATTGTATCTCCACAACAGGACATTCTGTGTTAAACTAGGTGATGTTTTTTTCTTCTTGGGAGGGGCTATGCTGGGGGGTCCCGCAGGGATCGATCCTTGGTCCTCTTTTGTTTGCCATTTATCTGCTACCTCTGGGGTCAATCTTTCGTAAACATGGCCTAGCGTTTCATCTCTACGCTGATGATTGTCAGATTTACTCTCCATTGTGTCAGGAGAAAGGTCTCTCTATCCAGTCCTTTGTGTCCTGTCTTAACGAGGTGAA